GCCGTGAAAGGCGACTATGATTGTCGTAAAAGGCGACTCTCTAACTTGGTTGTCATCGTATCCCAATTGCGTGGATCGATGCTCATGATGTCAATCACTAGATTGTCTGATCAAGACTCGATTATTTACAGACCGCCGTCATATAGCTGGAATATTGCTGAGTGCGGCGTTAAACAACAAACAAACAAACAAACATGTATTGAAAATGTATCGATTAACTATAATTGCACAACAACGTCGTATAACTTCATGGCGAAATATGACTAAACAGAAAAAGGTTTAGCCTGACGCGCTTATAATGCACAAGCATTTAGTTCATGTTAGTTCTTTAGTAACGTGACATGACATAACTGACTTAAACATAGTGTGTACATTCATTAAATTCCCATGTACCACCACAGAGTATTTCGACAAATGAATGTGATTGATTCTTGTTTTATCGATCTGTTGCATTTGATACCATGATTTGTCCACCTTCGTAAGGAACGGTCACACTGACCTTTGCAACTAAGGTCAGCTAGTCCGCTATTCTTAAACTGAATTGGGGCGGTCGGGTAGCCTAGTGGTTAAAGCGTTCGCTCGTCACCCAAAGACCCGGGTTCGATTCCCGACATGGGTACAACGTGTGAAGCCAATTTCTGGTGTCCCCCGACGTGATATTGCTAAAAGCGGCGTAAAACCATACTCACTCACTCACTCACTTAAACAGACCTGTGTCCAGTCATTGCAAGCGCGTATGCAAATATGCGCGGATATATGTCTCTTGCCGCTAACCATACGCCCCTAAATGGCACGCGTGGATGACACATCGACCTCATGGCCTTGTTAATTTTACCAATAAATACATGGTGTTTCTCCTGTACCTCTTCATTAACCAGCAGCAGTGTGAACATCAATACAGACTGCATCAGCTAACGGTACTGCTATACACATTATCAGGGTTGTGTTTGTCTTGTGAATTATGTCGATTGCTTCTCCACATGAATAACGGCAGGTCACAACGCCCCACAGCTCTCTGCCAAACACCGCACGTCTGTATACTGCGACTGTTTGACAGACAAAACACGGCTGGAAATAGGGTGTACTTACAGAGTGACATGTGCGATGGGGCAATATAGTGTTTATCTGCCTCAGGAACAATTAATCTAAGTGGACCTGAGAATTGAATGTCGCCAACAACATACATATAATTTCGTATGTTTATTTCGGTTTCAATAGGGAATTGTACAGCCCAGTACAATGTATTGGCGTTGCTGTATTAAGTATCGGAGGTACAGAGTGAGTGAGTGAGTTGGGTTTAACGCCGCTTTTAACAATATTCCAGATATATCGCGGCGTGTCAGCTTAATGTGGGAGGAAAGCTCGAAGTGATGCAGGTCTAAGACGTTTACCACTTCGGTGAAACCCACGAGCACGGGTATGGTGCTGACAAACCTAGAAACATAATCGGGGCGAACGCGGTGATTGTGGATCGGGTGGTCAGGCTCGGTGATTGTGGATCGGGTGGTCAGGCGCGGTGATTGTGGATCGGGTGTTCAGGCTCGGTGATTGTGGATCGGGTAGTCAGGCTCGGTGATTGTGGATCGGGTAGTCAGGCGCGTTGATTGTGGATCGGGTGGTCAGGCGCGTTGATTGTGGCTCGGGTGGTCAGGCTCGGTGATTGTGGATCGGGTGGTCAGGCTCGGTGATTGTGGATCGGGTGGTCAGGCGCGGTGATTGTGGATCGGGTGGTCAGGCGCGGTGATTGTGGATCGGGTGGTCAGACGCGGTGATTTTGGATCGGGTGGTCAGACGCGGTGATTGTGTGTCATCGCACCCGTCCGAGAGATCCTTGCTCACAATGAGTGAGTGAGTGAGTTAGTATGGTTTTACGCCGCTTTTAGCAATATTTCAGCAATATCACGGCGGGGGACACCAGAAATGGGCTTCACACATTGTACCCATGTCGGGAATCGAACCCGGGTCTTCGGCGTGACGAGCGAACGCTTTAACCACTAGGCTACCCGACCGCCCCTGATTACAATGAACCACTGCAGCCATCGATTGTCTAGAACCATGCAGAAGCGATTATTTACTGGAATATTGCTGATTGTGGCATGTGGCGTTAAGCCATAAACAGGTGATATCGGGAGCCCGGATGCGACGATTAGTTGATCCATTCGCTGCGCTGTGCACATTCAGAGTCATGTCCCAATACTACGCTAGTCGTGGGTTCAAATCCCAGAATCGATTCCTTGCGAGCTTTGGTTTGTCAGCACCATACCCGTGCTCGTGGGTTTCACCGAAGTGGTAAACGTGTGAGGCCTGCATCACTTCGGGCTTTCCCCACACATTAAGCTGACACGCCGTGATATAACTGGAATACTGTTAAACGCGGCGTTAAACCCAACTCACTCACTCATGGGTAGGTTTCCCGGCAGGATAACGTCAACGGATGAAAACCGTATCATCTGGTATAATTTCCGGATAAATATACAATCGTAAACGTCTAATTAAGACTTGCATCACTTTGGGCTTTCCTCCCACAATAAGCTGACACGCCGTGATGTAACTGGAATACTGTTCAAAGCGGCGTTAAACTTAACTCACTCAATAACCAAATTTAGTAGTAAACTTGTAAGAACACCATGCATCATGTAGGAACTTTCTCCCTCAATGAAGTGGCACGGAGTGATCATTAAATCAATACTGTTCAACCCCTTCTTCCCTTTGGGGACAAGTTCTCATTATTTTGTTTAACCCACTTAAACGTAATTGCATGTATTGTATAAAATGAGTCAACAATAAAATCGCATGTCTTTGACATAAATGTAAATTGTTTTCCTGAAGCCACGAAGGGACATTTTTTACAGAATCCGGTTGCTCTTTTGGGGTCATGTTTACCTAGAAATACTTGGTCCGATACTTGCGGATCTTGTAGGACTATCTAACATATATAATAGCCGGATATACAGTGACATACAGGAATCTATGGAAGCACTGTCAGTTTCAATTCAGCGACTTTCGGTAATATTAAAACTGGAACTTTATAATCCGACGCAAACATAAATAAATATGTTTTTGTTTTTTTGTTTTAAATAAAACCCTTGAAAATAATTCCATTATTTTGGTCTTTTCAGCGTTTGGGTAGCCCAGTGGTTTGTGTGTTCGCTCGTGGAACAACGAGTCTGGTTTCTATTCCCCTGCTGGCATCCTTGATTATTCAGTGTATCATGTCTCCTTTCTGCTGTTGGGGCGGTCGGGTAGCCTAGTGGTTAAAGTGTTCGCTCGTCACGCCGAAGACCCGGGTTTGATTCCCGACATGGGTACAATGTGTGAAGCCCAGTTCTGGTGTCCCCCGCCGTGATATTGCTGGAATGTTGCTAAAAGCGGCGTAAAACCTCACTCACTCACTCACTTTCTGCTGTGACTTCGAAACTAACACCACCTTCCCCCATCGCCCCATTATCACTAACCTAGCGCAGAAATTATTGCGCTCATGAGCTTGAAATCAACAAAGATGAATATTCAACTCCGGCAAAGATCAATATTCAAAATAACAGTCTCGTACAAACCAGACATGTTCAGTCGATAACAAGACTAATTTTCACGAATATTCAGCTGGAAAATATTTTATTCTGAGTACAAGACATGGGTAAGAGACGACTAGCGGGGTCGGGTGGTCAGGCTCGCTGACTTGGTTGATGCATTTCACCGTGTCCCAATTGCGTGGATCGATGCTCATGATATCAATCACTGGATTGTCTGGTCCAGACTCGATTATTTACAGACCGCCGTCATATAGCTGGAATATTGCTGAGTGCGGCGTTAAACAACAAACAAACAACATGAACGTCGTTATATAAGTGCAGTAATGTTGAACGCGACGAGCTGACCACCCGAACCCTTAATCGCCAGCATTGGTTGCTGAAGACCTGTTCTAACCCGGACCCACGGGTTGGGCGTTCATATGTGTGCGTGCGTGCGTGCGTGCGTGCGTGCGTGCGTGCGCGCGCGCTCTTTTACTAGTCCGGACTAATGCCGGTTTTATAGTGCTAGCCCACTGAAATACCATGCCGACTTATAACGTCTTTTGGTGTGATGCGACCGGGTATGGAACCCCCGACCTTCTGCTCTCAGGGCAGATACTCTATCCACTAGACCACAGAGGCGAAATTATATGAGATTGAATAATACAATGCACCGTGGCAATAGGGTTAATGATACAAGCGTATGAAATAACAATTCTATTTGCAACCTTTTTTGTATGTTTAACTAAGCACTCAGAATACTCCAGCTATATGACCACGGTATGTAATATTCGAGTCTCGAACCAATGACATATTATTAGCATAGGTTACTGGAGACCTATTCTAAGCTAGAGTGAGTGAGTTGGGTTTAACGCCGCTTTTAACAGTATTCCAGTTATATAGCGGCGTGTCAGCTTAATGTGGAAGGAAAGCCCGAAGTGATGCAGGTCTCAGACGTTTGCCACTTCGGTGAAACCCACGAGCACGGGTATGGTGCTGACAAACCTAGAAACATGATCGGGGCGAACTGGGATTCGAACCCACAATCATAGGTTTTTTTTAAATCACATAGCTGTTTATATTCAGATAAATATAGTTTTCCATCAATAAATACAAAATATATAAATATGGTCGTTACTAAGCAGACCTCGAGTTACATTGTATTAAATAAATTATGTTAACGTTAATATTTGTAATAGGAACATGAAAGAAAACAAGCTTACGGAAGCATTGTCACTCTTATTAATAAAAGGTTATCGGATTGTAGTTCCTTAATTAGATTCCCCGATACAACACAAGGTCAGGTATGATCATACAATGACCCACATATTGACACATGAACAGGACTCTGATTACAAGCCTATCACTTATGATTTGTCGAAATTCTGAACAGCCGATGTATATCAGCCGTTTTTTGGAACGAGAGCACAGTTTTCAAAATTATATCCTTTACGGTGATCCATACAAAGAGCCGGACCAAGCGCAGAGAGGCACGGCGCATCCGGGAGATTTACTTCCTGCTCAGTTCGTCTGCACAGTACGGCAAACATGGATTCGCCGGCAACAGAGGAAGTTTTGTCTCGCATTCGAGATTCCTTGGAACACGAAGGCCACGGTGCTTATGTCTTTGTCGTTCTCGGTGCCTCGGTAAGTACTGTCAGTTGTTTGCTAAATGTTGGGAATTTAGTGCGTGACAACTTGGTCTAACAGAAATAAGTTACACAAGGGACAAAACTGTCAGTGAAAATGACTCGGCGAAATATCAGGCTACAACTTGGCTTAATATTAATAGTGGGTCTCTCGCGTTGGTGATAGTGTTGTTCGCTTTCGTTCAGTAGATTTATGAATAATTTCAATCATGGTTATCTTCGGCGTCTGCAATGTCACTTTGATTCAAGCACGCCAGAATGCACGCTAGTTGTAAACTTACTGTAGGTAAACGATGTTAGCTGGACCGGGGACGCTAGGAGGGGAGGGGGTTGTGGGAATCTCTCGGAGCACGTTGAAATTAAGTGTTTCCCTTGTAATATACAGGATTTACATGCAAAATTAAATACAAATTTCTTTGGGTGACTTCCTGTCAGACAACCTTACTTGACTTGTATTGTGAGTTCGAGAATTTATCCCTTGTCAATGTAAGTTATACTGGCACAAGCAGGAAGGAAATTACCAGAGCAGAACATACACATTGTATGCCCGCACGCTAAACATTTAGACATTTTGTCAGTATGTTTTATGGCAAGTTCCAGTGGTATCAAAACACTTTATCATTTGATAACATTTTTTGCACTCGCACATTTTATGAACCTCAACAAGCGAGGAACTAAAGTATGAATCTAAAACCTTAGACTCATGACAGTTTGACATACCGTATTCGACGTAATAAGCTCCCTCCGCGCTGTCAAAATTAGAACTAGGGGGCTCTTATCAGGATATTATTTTGGTGAAAAATAAAACAGAGTTGAAAGATAAATTTCGTGGTTTATGCCGACTGCCTGAAATGTTTATGTACGACATATATATTTTTCCAGAATTTAATTGCCCATAATTAAGGGTGCATATAACACACGAATGTGTATTATACGCGAAAAAATAGGTCTTGTGTACATTGATCAATCGGAAGGGGTGCCAATTTGGATTGTTCACTAGCCAATATATTAGCAAATATCGCCGTGGGCGCTTATTAGAGCGGGGCGCTTATTATGTTGAATACGGTATGCCATATATTTTTTATGCATCATACATTATTATTTGTAAGGTGATATGAATTGTTTTTTTATTTGGTAATAACTGATCAAAATTAATCGTGGTTGGGGGTGGTCCTTCAGGTTTGGTACTAGAATTATATTGAATTTGAATCTAGGAGCTTGTAAAACTTGTAATATTAAGGTTATATAACTTTGAAATAGTTTAATATTCTGTTTTCATTAACTTTGAACTTGCTTAATGGATTTGAACATTTAATGGAGTGGAAATGGTGTTTGGCTGCTGCAGCTGTTACAGATGTATTGAATTTAGTTTGATAAGTGATACCATGGATACCATGCATACTATGCTTCAGGTCGATTTCTTATTAAATTTCATGTAAAATGATGATTTTCCAAGTAACCATATCACATCTAATCTAACTGAAATAATATTTACGCCATGCTCACCTTTTAACCGTTTGTACAGAAAGGATTATGACAGAAATCAAAGAATGTCATTATTCAAATCAGATTTGTAGTTCAATATATTTAATATTTCATTGCTTTCCTATTTACATCTTACTCAAAATTGATAGGAATGCTAAGACATACCATTTACAAAAGTGAAAATTAATTATTCGCATTGGTTAACTATCTTATTACCACTTTTGACAGAGAAAAAAATTATTGACAGATTGAATATACCGTATTTGACGTAATACGCGCCCCGCTCCGATAAGCGCCCACAGCGATATTTGCCAATATATTAGCTCGTGAACAATCCCAATTAGCACCCCTTCCGGTTGATCAATGTACACAAGACTTATTTATTCGTGTATAAGAACACTTGTGTGTTATATGCACCCTTAATTATAGGCAATTAATTTTTGGAAAATGACTTTTCTTTTGTTTCATTTCAGGCTGTTAGCATAAACCATGAAATTTACGATCTTTTTTCACCTAAATTATATTTTTAAAATAGCCCTCTATTTCTAATTTTGAGAGCGCCCTGGGCGCTTATTACGTCGAATACGGTATGCACAATTCTTTTAAAAGATTTCTGCAATGAATCATCGGTGATGAGCAGACTGTTTGGAACGTTTACAGTAGTTACTTAGTAACCACTGCAGTCTGATTCTGACTGTAATGCTGATGAAGCATGACAAAGCATTATGTGCTGATAGTGCAGTGGGTTTTACTTCCAAGTGTCCTATATGATCAGTTTTTTGGTAATTCAGGTAGGTGTTCAGAAATGTATATGTCATCATGATTATACGTCCTGACATTTCGTGAAAACTATGTAAATAATCAAGGGACTTTTCTAGGATCCTTTACTATTTGCCCTTTGCAGATGTAGCAAAGAAACATAATTTGTTCAGAAATTTGATTTAAAAAAGGCTAAATATAGTCTTAAATTCAGGAGTATATTGATATTTCAATCAATGCAAACGTGTTCTTGTTTATTGGTCCTGTTATCTGTGAAATGCAAGTCACCTCTGTTTATTGATGATATTACTGTAATAACATGACTTGGCAGATTCCTTAATCAAATACCCGGTATGTGATTTTTGGCTGACATCAGAGCAGATCTGGATAAATCGGTGGATTTGCCAGTTTTTTAATCTGCTTGAGCTGGAGCTGTCAGTGTTCACATGGTAAAAGCTAGATACTGTGGGTTCACAGGGTTAGAACTAAACTGAAAAGCTTTACCAGCCCAAGTAAGGATAAAATGCCCTTGTAATGTTAAAACAATGGGGAAACTGGAAAATTTGCATTAGCCCAAAGGAATTTCTACTAGCCCCAGGCTAGCGGGCTAGTGTAAATTTCTAACCCTGGTTCAGTTGATTCTTGTAATTTGGTTTCTCATGCAAGTTTTGTTTTTTATCCATCAGCCATCATTGAAACATCTGAATATTCTGAAAGGGTTCATGGCATTCGTCCAACCAGTTGATGATGACTCGTGAAGATTCCGGGGTAGAATAGGTCTTCAGCAACCCATGCTTACCATAAAAGGTGACTATGCTTGTCCTAAAAGGCGACTAACGGGATCGGGTAGTCAGCCTCGCTGACTTGGTTGATGCATGTCATCTGTCCCAATTGCGTGGGTCGATGCTCATGATATTAATCACTGGATTGTCTGGTCCAGACTCGATTATTTACAGACCGCCGTCATATAGCTGGAATATTGCTGAGTGTGGCATTAAACAACAAACCAATCAACCATATTTATTGCTGCAGTTTGAATTGCTTTTGTAAAAGTTGCATAAATTAATATTTCCCTTACTGACATTTACTGTTTCTATTTTGGCTATGCATTTAGTTTTGACATTTTCCCAAACAAATGTGTTACATCTGGTTGAAGTGGCTTGTTTCTGTTCAAGTAGGTTAAAATGTTTCTTTTGTTAACACATTATTAGAATTTCCATGCATTCATTTGAAGTTCATGTGTTGCATCTGGTCCCTGGTATGGGTGTAATTGTATGGACCCATTAACCACTGTGTTCTGTTACCACAGGTATAGTTACAGCTTGTTTAGATCAATGCAGTTTTCAAATCAGATTTTTATCAATCATTAGGGCATCAATTTAACACATATGATATGGAATATACCTTTTTTCCATATAATGCTTTGGACTCTTACTATTACTAAGATTACAGTAAAATAGTTTTTAGCAGCAGTGTTTAGTGTGTGTTTACATGAATCTGACTGCAGTCACAGATATCAGTGGAATGTGACTGAGTAGTCATTACTTTTTTGTCAGCATACCGTATTCAATATAAGCGCCCAGGGGGCTCTCAAAACTAGAAATAGGGGGCTCTTATTAGAATATAATTTTGGTGAGAGTTGAAAGATTGTAAATTTTGTGGTTAATGCTGACCGCCTGAAATGATATAAAAGAAAAATATTATACACGATAGATATGTTTTCGACAATTTAATTGCTCATCATTAAGGGTGCGTATCATACACGAATAAATAAGCTTGTGTACATTGATCAATCGGAAGGGGTGCTAATTGGGATTGTTCGCTAGCCAATATATAAGTAAATATCGCCGTGGGCGCTTATTAGAGCGGGGGGCTTATTACGTTGAATAAGGTATACAAAAAAATATGTGATTCCAAAAAAGGTATCACAAAGGATATTACAAAAATCATTGGGCAGACCATCACCCCATCATAATATGTCACTGAGTAAGGGTGAGCTTCAGTACCTGTCCTACTCTGGTTTTGTTGAAAGCCATGTGAGGGTACTCAGCAGCTTGATTAAAACAGATTTCCCTAACTTTCATTTGGAGAAAATGATGGCATTAATGATGTTTTCTGGATACAAATGTATGGATATATAGGAGGAAAGAGGCATACAATGTCACTGGTTAAGATTTGGAGCTTGGCATGTAACAGAAAATATGCCATATTTTGCTTGAATGATAAATGGAATTGTACATGGCTATTACTTTCAAGGTTTTGCAATTGATGCACAAAAACTAATAAATATAATTGGGTAATTCCTTTTAACAAGATTGCTGATGCTGCTTTTAGCAATAATTACTTATTACTTTAAGGGGCAGTCGGGTAGCCTAGTGGTTAAAGCATTCGCTCATCACACTGAAGACCCGGGTTTGATTCCCGACATGGGTACAATGTGTGAAGCCCATTTCTGGTGTCCCCCGCCGTGATATTGCTGGAATATTGCTAAAAGCGACGTAAAACCATACTCACTCACTCACTCACTACTTTAACAGGTGTTGTTGGTGGAATAAAGACGTCATGTCAAAAGTTGATGTGTTAGTGGTTTATTAGTGACAGCAAGTTAATTTGTGACGAAAGGATTCCCTTTTTTATGGATTTTTAAAAAATGTTCTTGTTTTGCCTATTTGTGCTGTTATGATTTTTGGCACACTAAGACTAGAAGATATAATCTTTATATCCTTTTTTTATTACATGTCAAAAACATATCTT